ACGAAAGAATACAGAGTATACATAACTCGCAATTCTATATATTCAGCAAACAGCCCAAAACCGAAACTCCACAACATATCCGATCACACTGATTAAGGCTGTCCCAGTTCTCAATGCGATACTGACGCCCGTTCGTTTCCCAGACCATACAGAATAAATTTAAAAGGAATCCAGCTCAAGTCTAGAACGATTTGGCAAGCCTAGATTGCCTTAATTCTATCCATGAAAGTAAGCATTAATAAAAAAATATTGTTCATGTCTGCTTCGGATCATATTTTCTAGATACTTATTTTAACTAGGAAAATTGTACTGACACCGGCGCTGTCCCTAATGAAGCTATCCATAAGAATTTCGAATTGCCGTCCATTGTTCGATGTCAATACATCGATGACAAGTGAGGATATCATAAAGTAATCGTTGATGCCGCGCTACACTTTGATAAAAATTATAATCAAGTTGACTAGTGTTTACATTACTACAGTGAACATGTACATGATCATGCCCTAATAATCAAATGCCGTAATGTCAAATACTAATTTATTATTGTGTGATGAATTTAACTGGATCAGTGGTAACATGTGATATTAATATTCCATCAATTTCTTTTCTGGTTGGTCCATCCATGTCTACAAAATGAAAATAATACAATTAAAATGGAGCATAGAATAATTCTTAATTTCAGGCTAGAGCTGTGGAAATCTAGACTTTCCCAATCATTATAGACTTGAGTTGGTCTCATGTTTTACATTATTCTCTTGGGTCAACGTCACAGCTCATACCATACACTAACAAGACCAGCTTGCCCCCCGCCGGAGCTCCCGGATTTTGGTTATATCATCTAACATGGCCAACTCTGCTCTTAAGTAAACAAGAACCTAATCAGCGAGGGGTCCTTTATCATCCCTATATGGCTGCTTATAAAAATCTGATATCTTTTCCAAAAGACCTGGTTAATAATATATTTTCTGCTGAATATTCGAAACAAATAGAGTGAGTTGGTACTACATGTACATATGTATACGGTTCTATTTTAAATGACTGCAGCGCTCCATTATGAAAACAATTTGTTTTAACGCCGCTCTCAGCAGTATTCCAGTGATATATGACGGCGGTCTGTTGTATATGAAATATATGCAAATTGAATCTTGAATCTTGAAAGTTGTAACATTTCCGCAAATAAGTATCACATGCAGTATACAGTATATCAACTGCAATATACTGTATACATCAGTATACAGTGTGTCGCGAGCTCTGCGCTGGGCTGGAGCACACATTTCCTACACCTCTCCCTTCGGCAAACACATCACGAGGGTTGCAACGAGGTCACAGGTCAGGCGTGCACTCGTCAGTTGTCTGATACGGTCAAGAGTAAGATCTTCCGGAAGACCACTGCACTGGAGGTATGTGGATTATTGAGGAGGTACTACGTGTTTGGAACTGGGAGTTGAACACTAAGCACTTTTGGAGAAGAGCTCACAATAAAACGTTATGGACTCGCGGACGGACTTGTGTTTTCATTTCAAGATGTACATTTATCAGGTTGAACTTCCTAACTGTAACAATAACTGAACTTTACGCCTTTTATACACATTTGTGATGGGGCGACAATGCGACAACGAGACATATTTTGACCTTGAAAATGTCGCGTTACGGCATCGTCGCCCTTTTGTAAAATAAAGAAAAGGATTATCAAAGAGCGACAATGCGAACACGCGACAATGCGACAAATGGCCAATTGTCGCGCTTTTGTTAATTTTGACACGTTTTGCTTGTTTTTGTAAAGGCGTCAATGCGATAATGCGACAACGAGACAATGTCCCTTCCATAGTAATCCGTGCAAATAAAACTGAGTAATGAAATAGAAGTCTGACATGCCAGTTAAAAGATAGAGTGTTGCAGCTTCTGATTTCACAGATCTTCAAGAACGGTTATCAATAATGGGATGGGTGATGAGTTCAACTGCATACGCTGTGATTAACAATAATGCTCCGAGTCAATACATTTTGTCAAATGTATGACATGTATTACGTGAATGAACATATTGTTTATACTCGTCCATGTTTTTGACGGACAAAATAATTTACATGCTCGGTAAAACTGAGGACGGGCATCATTGTATGTTTCCGTGCTTTGTTCAGGTGAACAATTGACTTGTCCTTGCATGTGTTTGTGACGGGTGCCACTGGTGTGGCAGGATACGCTCACCTTTTCCCGAACACCCATTGGATGACCTGAACCACTTCGGATTTTTATCCCACATCAGTCTGATACACCATGATATAACTGAAATACTGAAATACTGTACAGTTGAAAATGATGTTTAATGCAATTACCGTAGTGTGTTACTGCAACTGTTCATATTTTGTGCAGTGATGTTATGTAATATGTAAAAGAAAGCATATTCAATTATCCAATTGATTTGAATAGAATATACTTGCGTCAGTGTATTTTATTAACGACCCAAATCGTAATTTAAACACATAAAATAACAGATCACGCATGGTGCCTTGACTTACTACTAGATTTAATGGGCCACCCCGGAATAAAATAGTTCCCCCCAAAGCGAGGACCATATGTTTTAGTATGTTTACAGGAAATATATTCCAAACAATATCCTCATTAGATGAGAAGATCTTTTACAGAATTACCTCAGTAAGTCAATTACAATGACAGAGCGTCGTAATACATTTACATCAAGTACAATACGTCAAAATGGCCGACACGATAAACGTGACGGGAGATATTTTCGAAGTTCTTAATTAACCTGTGGCTATTTCAAGCCTTTGGCATCACTGATCAATTGGCCGATCATTGAAAGGTGATTGTGAAGATGTGTCAAATAGATACTAAGGTTTCCCCAGGAATGTGGAAGTAGTCAGTGTTTACGCCTTTTCAAGAATACAGTCACGTGAAGACCGTCATGTGACCGACCTCGCGTCCAAGTCGTAAATCTTGTAAACTTCACATGAAAAAATTAGTTATTGTTATAACCAAATGAAACACAACCCATTATCCGATAGGGGTAACTGTACATAGCCGTTACCACAATAAACTTGGTAACATTGTTTCGTTTGACTTCTTGGCGCGTGTCTGAATTCCATTAACATGTAACATATCCTAAAACTAGCTTATCAGCAAATATCGCTGCACTGCGCGCGACAGATACTAGAGCAAGGCATTCCAGAAATACGAAACCTAAAGCTTCCGAAAGGAAGCCTTGGACATCACGTGCGTCGGGGGACCAGCGCCATCTGATTGGCCGTTAACAGTTTTACAAGGCGGAGCAAAAAGCATCGTTTTTCCGTCCATTTTACGCTTGAAAAACTCGACCCTTTTCTGGACACTTTCTAGACGCTGACCAATTAATCAATTTTAATGAATTTTTAGTCGTTTTTCCGTCCAATGACCATATACGGAAAAAACGACGTTTTCGTGTTTGCAGTGTCACATAGTCCATGAATGCAGTCACTTTAGGGCCAGCAGGAGAGTCAGCAATGGCATCAAGCCACACATCACCCACCTTGTCACGAGGTGGCGTGAAGCAACTCACCCTGAGTTGTGATCCTTGCAGTGCACTCCTTGACAATACAGGACCAGTATCTTCTTTCACCACGACTGCTCTAACACCGAACCTTAAAGCCATCATAGTACAAAATGACGCCTCCTCTGCCACTTTCAATGAACTTTATTTGAACTTGTGCATTTGCGATGGTTCTGACATGGAATGAACAGGACGTCACTTAAATATGTTATGAATAACAGGATGTGGGACACTCATTTAAAGGTATCGGTATTCTGATCAAATAATTACCGGCTAGAGTAGGTGAAATGCACACAGCTGTTTTTTAGCTTTACCGTCGCCAATGGGCCACAGTTAGCTGTGTACTGTTGCGTCAATAAGGCGTGCCAGGAACCCTTGGTCCTAGATTCGAATCCTTGTTCGCCTTGATTATATTTCTATTTTTGTCTGCACCCTTCTCGTGTATATGTGAACAGTGAACCCCTCTTAATACAGGGAGTGTCGTTCCCAGTCAATCAACAGTCATCACCAGAAAGAGTAGTCTCCAAATTATCGGGATTTCACGCTAATTACAATAACGCATTCCTTTTCGCATTGACTCCATATCTTCGTCTCATTTGAAAACGCACTCACATATACACATATACACATATATGTTTAATTATGTATAAATATGTCAACCTGTTGCAGACAAGGGGCAACCGAGTACATCTCCAGCCTTTCTGAATCTGCTGAAACCCATCGCATATTTCCCTGGACTTGACTTCACCGGCCATACAGAAGGTATACATGGACCCATGTCATATCACAGCTTTCACACTGTGTCTTATAATGATGTAATACTTTTATTATTGCATTGTAGATTATTAATGAATGCTTCATCCCAAAGTTCGTTTCTTCACATGGATACTCTGTGTGAAGCTACCTTTGTGAATAATTAACAACCAGAAGTACTTGTATTCATACGCTTTGGTTCTTTCAGATGTTTGAAATAATATTTAAGAAAGAACATTGTGAGAAGGTTTGACACATTTCAACCCTGATGTAAAAATGAAGATGTTGTTTATGAAAATAACATAACTACATAACTATTCCCCTGTCGCAATTTCGTATTTGTGAAATTTCAAATACGCTTCAGTTACTTTCATTGTTTTGTTTTTTCAACCGGTGAACTAATGAAACTTATTAAGTCGATATACCGGTATGTACATATTATTATGTTTATCTAGAAGGTCACTGTCTAACGTTCCATTTCCCTATAGAGGCGGCCGGGTAGCCTAGTGGTCACACCTAAAACCCGGGCTCGATCCCCGACATGGGTAGAATGTGCGAAGCCCATTTCTGGTGTTCCCCGCCGTGATATTGCTGGAATATTGCTAAAAACGGCGTAAAGCCATACTCACTCAATCCAGAAAAATGAAACCTTATAAAGAGGGAACTAAATGTGTAGTAAACACGTGACTTCGATATTACATTTCAGTAGACACATCTGAGGAAACTGCGATTAGAAACTGGGTACCTTTTGTCGGACCTGGAAGACAACTTTTGTACAACGGGATGAAGTATAAGAATGGCAGCATCATAGTGCCCGCCACTGACGTGTATGTCGTTTTTAGCCACATCAAGTTTTACACAGAAAGAAATAATCATGACGATGCTGAGTCTGATTTTCATCATAATATTACACGGTACAGTGCACTGAAGCAAGATGCAGAAACAGTATTGAGGAATGTCATCAGCGAGAACAAAAACAGCATCATTGATGGAGCAAGTCTGGAGTACTCCAGTGATGTTCATGGATTGGTGCAGCTGGACGCTGGTGATCAGCTGATGGTGAAAGTATCAGGGATGAATCCTATGAGACATGACAGGGACTGGCATTATTTTGGAGTATACTTGACTTGAGTTGACAAAAGAGTCCATGCATATATAGGGACCCCGGTTCGAACAGACCAAAGTATCCAAAGCTAGTGCTAAGGAGTGAATGCCCTTTATTTCAGTCACTGGCCCCTTACACAATCGCTATTTATATTGCATATGAATGAAGGGAGCCCCTGGTAATAACTTCATCCAGATAACTAAGACAAAATTGTTATGGATGAGCAACTTCTTTATTACAATTGGGCGACGTTTACATTTGGCATTAACATATATGCTCATATTCCTAAAAACGTGAGAGGAGAGTAGGTAGTGAAATTAAAAATACGGGAAATTGTAACATTGTTTAGGTAATAGGGATTGTGTCAAATCAGTATAGGAAGGGCAAACCAGACACACACGGTACTCTGATTCCTGTGAGGGATGTATACAATAGGCAAAGTCTCTCATAAGACCAACTTTTGTACCACCCCCAGTCACTAAACCAGAACACCCGAAAGAGCAGAGAGAAATATGATGCATTAACTGATACTTGTGATAGATACATTTCAAATAAAACACTTCAGCGACCTTTACAGTCATAAATTTGAGTTTTGTTTCAAATCCTCCGACCATATCTGATGGTCTATGTCACTACAACTTTGGTTAAATAAAGACAAGAAATAGCTAACATTACAAACATCCTGATAAAATTCATACTGACAAGAAGCCGTATTTGAATAATATATTCTTATATTAAATGCCCAACAATTATATCCTTATTTGCCAAAGTCGGCTGATGTAGATAAACCTGTTTGGATATGACGTTATCTCTTTGATAAAGTAATCTAATCCAATATTTTACAAACTGATTTGCGTGAAGTAGAGATCGTCCCAACTCTCCTATGGCTACCCTTTTGGTCGGGACCCGTGAAGATTCCGGGCTAGAATAGGTCTTCAGCTACCCATGCTTGCCATAAAAGGTGAAGCAGGAGAGTCCTAGTCGGCAATAACACGTCATTTCAACGGACACCTATCTCGTTTATGGGATCCGAATGCCCGCCTCAGTTTAACCCAAGGTCTTCTTAGAAGTGATAGACCAAGAGGCACCACCCTGCACAAAACAGTTACATCTGGTTCTTTCACCTATGTCATCGCCATGCAACTGCCATCGAGTTGGCGGGACATGTGCCAGGTCTGAGGTGGGTATAAACGTATCAGACTAAACAATCAGGAATCTTCTGCGATTGGTGGGAATTAGACCCTGAATACCGGTATTTGTCCCTGTCATTCAGGAGACGTTTCCATCGACGACATGCGATGGAGCAGCCCCGTATGGGCATAGACACTGAGAAATTGGCGGCGACTCTGGTTCAGTGAGGCATCACGTATCTTCTAGATGGAAGACGTCGAAATATACAGTAACCCTGCCCATCTAATCTCCAAAACAATCAACAAGACCCTCAAGAACTCCGAACCAAGAACAAGGCCTGCCCCTTCGCCAATCATACCCCACCAACGCCCTGTTGCTTTTCCGCCTCATCAAGAGCAATGCCAATATAGATTCCCCCTTTCGTAGCGGCAAGACCATCTAGACCCATCTACGAGCTAAAGTACTCATGGAAATGGAAAAAAAAACCTGTTTTGCTGGAATTAATAATGGACACAAAGCATTACGTAGATGTAAATACGAAATAACAAAACAACTGTAAAAGTACAAGTCTGGATTTGCTAGTTTTATCTCAGTGCTCAATACAAAATGTACTTCACAGGAGGTAATTTGTAGGCACTTTCAACATTCAAAACTATAACTAAGTCCAAATTGATATGGCAGAAACAGGCTATGGGCATTATGCAAATTAGCCTGGAAAAAAAGTTAATAAAAAAATAACAGCTATGTTTATGTACATAATAATAATGACATGTAAGTTGTTGTTTGAGAAGGGAATATGTTATTTTTACGTTCTGATATTTTGACGATGATTCATGATCACTATCCCACAATGCCACTGACAAATCACTAACCACTGACAAATCACATGCACGTGGGTTTCAAGCACCTGTTTTCGCCTGTCGTCAAGGTGTTATAGGTCATGGGCATTCACCTTGATCTACAAACACCTGGTTATGCTCAGTTTCACAATAGTCTGTTTTGTTCATATTTTTACACACTTATACGTGTAAAAAGACATAAAAAACATTTGATACGCTCTATTTGTGCAAAGGCCCAATTAATACTAATTAAGTTGTTTGAATATTTATATATTTTGTATATTAACTGCATTTATTTTAAATCTGAGATCGAAAAAAACCAGTTTTTTTCATTCCCGTGAGTACTTTAATGGAAGAGGCACAAGCTGAGCAAGTCACAATCCGAGAGGGTGTATATACCAGATCCTATGCATCTGTAGCCACCGAAACACTTGAGAACCCTCAGACCCCTTAACCCCAGACTCAAAGAACATCAGATGTCTGTCAACAAACTAGACCAGAAACCCGCAGTTTCCGCAAGAATCAAGACCATACTGTCATGCGGGAAGCCATCAAAAGTCCTGTCCACTACCAACAGCAACTGGCGACAAAGGAAACTACAAGAAGCCATTGACATCAGGAGACACCAGCAAGCCATGAACCGTGACCAGGGAACCTATCTGCCCTGTGCTTGGTGCTTATTGCTCTCATTGTCTGTGCTAATTACCCATCTGCATTCAATTTGCCTTCTGCTATTGTCCACTGCTATTACCTATCAGTGTTAATCATCGGCTGCCTCCCTTTGGCCAATTGCTTATTACCAATCAGCGATAATCTAGCTCCTGGATTCAATTTGACCATTGCTAATGACCTACTATATAATGTATAAGCGCTAATTAACTTTTAACTATTGGCTTCCATTTGTCCATTGCTTATCATTTATCAGCGCTAATTAACTGCTGGCTTCCATTGTTAAGTCCCACCTTTGTCATTTTATAACTTTTATGTACTATATATGTGCTCTCTTCTTCCTAACATTCATTCACCTGATGAAGGAGTAAGTATATACTTCGAAACGTTGTGTTCCTCATAATAAAGAAGTCAACATCCAGAAAATACTCTTCCAAATATATGTTTGTTTTGGTAGCCGGTTACGGAGCGTGTGATTGAAGCACTTTCACTAGGAGATTTAAAAACTTTCTTCGAATGTTTTCTCCATCAGAAACTGACTGACTCAATGTATCAAGGTAAAATTGATTAACGCAAAAATCGCAATAATTCTTTTCAGTTTACTAACCTATAAATGGAATTAGCGTCATTGACCATTCTATCTATTCATTCTTTTTGCCAATGGTATAGTCGAAATTGAAGGATAGCATCATTCTAGAAATGATGTTTGTTCATTAAATACTCTCAACATCTAAAACTAAAATAAACTATATTTATTTCGCACAGAAATATCCAAGAAATGTGTGAATCATCGTACTCACAACATCTTCAGTGGGATGAACATCAGAATTTTCAACAGCAATAGTCATGTCCCAAATGTCGAGATAAACCAACTGATCATAGAGACCAAGAAATTCCTGTTTGATGATGTTTTCATAAATAGGTCCCCATAGCCCATCTAGAGTATAGTTAGTTATGGGATGTATATAATTGTGGGGCCCCTTTATGGCTATTTTAATATCAGGTGATCTTTTCAATAATTTTTGTATTGAAATCCGTGTACGTTTCATTTGAGACCTAAACATGTGTACCGGAAATAGATTAAAATGAGCGTAAAGATTAATAAGGATAATGTCTCGTGAACCTGCAGGTGTCTCATCTAAATAGACGAACACGGGTCGACTCGCAGTCCTGTTTGCATTTTGAAATGACATTGGCAGACCATGAGAAATCCAAACAACAGTATAGTTATGTTGTTTCTCATAGGCCTCAGTGTAGTAGTAACGCTTCTGTGTTATTGGTATGGGCCCAATTAACCACGGTCCAGTTATCATGGTAAGATTCAACCTTTTGTAAAGGACTGTAAACCATTGTCTGACGGTCGAGTCACCATACATCCTGAGTGATCTGTTGGCCAGGCATTGGCTATAGTCATTCGTAGTTATGGAGTTAAAACATCCCCGTTGTCGCCATGTGGAGTTGTAGAAGAATCCAACAGGTGATGGAGTCATCCAGGTGTCACGGAATTGCTTCCTTCCACATGGAGCTGAGGAAGACACTGTCGCAGCTTTCACTGAAATGTTGAATTATTGTTGTATACCTACATGTACTTAATCTCTACAGTTCGTCTTCTCTTTTCACAGAGAAAAACTCTTGAGAGCAGTGACCGATCAAATATCCAGTCTCTTCCAAAACTGCCATCCCTTCTTTGAATCTAGATTTTCTTTTCTCTCAATTAAAATGCGAGGCTGATTATACTGTTTTATTCCAATTCCCCCATTATTCAAATTCAAACCCATTTCTATTATAATCATAACCAAAATGCATATAATGATTAATATTAGTTCATTCACAATGATTAATATCATAATGGCATTATGGTAGAGTATAATTCATATAAAAATATAGGTTATCCCAGAACTATAAATTAATTAGAGGAGCTATCATGTACATCTGAAGTATAAATATCATGAAAACAAAATAATGTTAATTACTTTGGAATTTGCGTTTAGGTTTTGGTCAGTTGGGTTTTGTGTTGGGTTTGGGTCAATTCATGTAGGGGTTTAAGGTTGGGCATATATTTTGTTTTTCTACTGACACTAACTTCAATTTAGTAGAAAGAATGTTTCCGCAAGAGGGCCACGAGTCCCAAGCATCCCACATAAATGTTTACTTGATGGTATTAGTTTCAATGTTTAACCATTTCAAACACTATTGTGACTAAATTTCAGCTATCTACTACATGTTCCTTCCAGGGATCTGTTGCCATGATGTTGTTTGTTTTACGTTTGTTATACCATGTTGCTTTGGTGCGTGCGTGCGTGCGTGCGTGCGTGCGTGTACGAAACCATCGCTAAAATACATACCAGAGGAAATACGTATTGGGACCCAGTCCACCAATTTCTCAAAAGAACACCTGAAATGATAAAGCACTTTATATCAAGAATTAATTTCTCTACAATCATTACCTGCGGATGGCACAGGAATTAATTAATATTCAACGGATCGAACGGCGCCGTTCAACTAACCGACTTCGTGAGTAAGTGAATGAGTGAGTGTGAATTTTCTCCGAAATGTTCCAGCAATATCACAGCAGGGGATATCATCAATTAGTTCCACACAGTATTTCCATTCCCACTTCCGAACGTTTTAGCCTGTGGTCTATCACACTGTTCCACGGCGACATCTTTGCGCCAGCTCCCGTATATTATGTTTTGTTTCTTTATAGTTTAACGCCGCACTCAGCACTATTCCCGCTATATGACGGCGGTCTGAAAAAATAATCGAGTTTGTACCAGACAATCAATTGACTGACATCCATATAATATTAACATTGACCTTTACTGAGAGGACCAATACATGGTCTTCACAATACATTGTCTTCACAATACATTGTCTACACAATACATTGTCTTCACAATACATGGTCTTCACAATACATGGTCTTCACAATACATTGTCTTCACAATACATGGTCTTCACAATGATCAAAATGACAAAAGTCACAAAAGTTGCATAGTGTTTTGTGAATCAAAGTGTGTTGTAAATAAAGATTAATTCATAACCTAATCCTTACACAGATGGCCCTGTCGAAATTTGTTGTGAAGAGTTATGATTGTGGTTCGTCCTGAATATGTTTCTAGGGCTAGCTCATAGCGCAAAGCCCGAGTTCCAGGCGTTTTAGTTGGCGATAAACGTCAAGGATCCTCGAAAGCCGATAGTGCTAACAAATCAAGAAACATAATCAATTAGAGTATTGGATTCGTAACGACGATAATAATCACCTCTGGGCAGCTGATGAACGCAAATCTGTGCAACCAAATGCAGCATTTTTGACCACTGCGACACCCATGTCGCCTCATAACAAGAAGAAAACCTGAAAACGACTTGTTGACCATGACAACTACATAACATAGCGTGAAGAGTGCTACTTACGACCTATACCAGCGTGTATCAGCCTCTGTTGGTACTGGCACAAAATGAACTGTGTTAACTCTAGTCCAATGGTGGCACTCAAATCCACGTTGTTTAGGTTTGGTACAATAGAACGGAACACCCCAATTTTCAGCAGTCAAATTGCAGATTGGTTTATTGTCAAGAAACCGTTTATCCATGTACCCCACAGTTGTCTCTGTTAAGGTATGTACATCAAACAGGCAACTAATATGCTTTCCGATATATCCGCTTCTAAATTTGTTGTATATAAAAGTCATCCTTTCTCTCGATGACAATATAGCTGCATAGATTACAGCTTGTCCGGTCCACATGGTGCGCAGAACGCCAGTATACGTCCCGTTGTCATGGTCAATAACACTTCCGGCGGAAGAAGCTTGTTTCACTGTGTCTTTCATCCAAACAACCAACATATCTCCTCCTCGGGTTTTAGGTCTTTCCTTGCGATCCATTAACACTATCTTCACATTGATGGTTTCATTAAGTCTGTAGATTTGTTGTTTGTCAATGAGGAATAACTTCGAGAACTTTCCCGATGCATGACGATTTGAATCTTTCAAGTTTGGATCATTTATAATTTCCGTGTCTGCCTTCACAGATTTCAAGGGGAGTTGATGTTCAACTTGAGGTGTTTGCCCCTTGTCTTCTGTTCTTGAACGAGCATGGTCTGGTACGCTCTGAAACCTACAAAAAAATATATACTTATTTATTTCGTATTTTTACTTTTCTATATTGAATATTGCTTCAATTATGATGTTAGTATCAATACATCATTGACGTAAGGTATATCAAATATGCATGTAAGTTGATTACAGGTGAGAGATGGTATCAAGTGTATGTGTGTTCGTTTGTGCTTGTGTGTCAGTGTACGTTTGGGTTTAACGCCACTTAAAATACAGTTTCAGTTACATTTCGGAGTGACAGCTTGATGTGGGAGGAAAGCCCGAAGGGATGCTGGTCGTAGACGTGTACACGTTGGTGAAACCCATGAACACTCTTATGGTGACCAAGAAACAGCATAATGGCGACCCGGGTTTCGAACCCACGATCATAGGTCTCTTGCGTGTTCAATGGACGCAACTCTGCAAGGTGTTGGCACAGGGAGAATATACAAACCTACGTAATATGTTTATTTACAATAATAGTTTGTACAGAAGTGAAGCTATTGTGTCTCTGGCTGTGATTAACTTTTTAGACCGCAATGGGACTGTCGGTGCACTTGAACGGGTCTACAAGTGGAGATTTCTGTTAAGAATACCAACATCTAACTATTCCCGTGCTCTGAGACCACTAAGCAGAAGAGGAAATCGTGCTATGTGACTAGGGTGCTGGCATGTCATCGTATCCCAATTGCTTATATCGACGCTCATAATGTCAGTCACTGGATTCTCTGTCTCACAATAACGTTAACAACAACAATAACAACACAGCACTACAATTGTAAAGACTGGTTTGTTGTGCTTAATTTGCATAAGGTTATAGATATCTCTTCTCACAGAAACAAATATAATACAAAATATTATCGACAGATATTTAAGGCTCCTTTGCTTAACAATTCACAATTTGTTTTGTTAAACGTTTGAAACCAAATGATCAAATGTTTTTAAAACGTCATATATATCTTATCCAATCGTAAGATTGGAGTGTATGAGTGACTGAGCTGGAATGAATGCGTCAGCTTAATGTGGGAGGAAAACCCGAAGTGATGCAGCTCTCAGACGTTTACCACTAAGGTGCAACCCACGAGTACAATTATGCTGATGACAAACCTATCAAAATTATCGAGGCGAAGAAGCATTCGAACCCACACTCATAGGTGTCTGGTGTTTCCAAAGCGACGCAACTCTGCACAGCAAATAGCCGAGCCTTAGACAACTTGGCCGTCTGTGCCCCCTTATACTTAGAACATTTAATTGTAGAAGAAATGATGTCATGATACTCACAAGAAATCATAAGTATTCCATAACGTTGAAATTACCCATTGAATGGCTGATAAAAAGGATTTATCATCCAAAACTGTCTCCCATAGGAGATATCGCTTGGGTGAGATCAAGTGAGTGAGTGAGTGAGTTGGGTTTAACGCCGCTTTTAACAGTATTATCGCGGCGTGTCAGCTTAATGTGGGAGGAAAGCCCGAAGTGATGCAGGTCTCAGACGTTTACCACTTCGGTGAAACCCACGAGTACTGGTATGGTGCTGACAAACCTAGAAACATAATCGGGGCGAACCGGGATTCGAACCCACAATCATAGGTTTCTGGTGTGCCCAAGGGAAGCAACTCTGCACAGCGAATCGCGGCGCCTTAGACGACTGGGCCACCCGTGCCCCCGGGTGAGATCAAGTGATATCTACACTGTAGATATCGCTGCAATAAAACTGCATCACAATGCTTTGCAGACCATTGTGACGTCATTGGTTACCATGACGTCACAATCAAATGACATCACTAATGGCTCTGCTTCTGAAGCTGTTAGCAGTACTTTTCACACTTAAGACACTGCTTATTGCTGTCTACAAACTGAAAAAAGTGGAAGAATTATTTTGGATGATAAATAAAATCTCACCCTTTTGATATCAAATATATCAACACTTGTTGATAAAAGTGGGAAAACTCCGAGGCTTCCACTTTTATCAACTTGTGTTGATATATTTGATATCAAAAGACACTCGGGTGAGATTATCTATGTATTTCAATACTCCTTAACTATTCTTCAAAAACACATACACACGGGATCTCATGAAAACACTGTAATTTTAACACACACACCTCCTTCCATCATTTCGTTCTGGGTGTGGTTCAAGTAGAGAGGTACATATTGTACTTTATTTCATTAGCTGTATATGTCGTATCCATAATGAAGGTGCTTAAACCTCATGCCGTCATTACAAAGTGAATCCATTGCGATAACGTCTCCTCAATTGATTGGTAAGCTGGCACCCTATGCTGAACAACGAACCAGTGATTCGTTAACTACTAGTATTTAATTAAGTTAGAACTGTATGGATCGGACACCGGGTTTCCCAGGCCACGTACTTACTTCTCAAGGCCGCCCCACGTTACAAACGACAACCATGCGACCAGAACGACAACGGCCAGAACTATTACTTTTGGAAATGTGAAACGCATCTGGAAAAAAAAGTGAAAACGTAAGGCTTACGTCATTTCCATAACTTTTCTTTTTGTTGAAATACAAGGTCTCTTTATCTTGGTATTGAGGCATTTGTATTGTAACCTTATATCTTTGTCACGAATCGTTTGTCTTATTCATGTATGACAACTATTGTTTTTGTATATTAAAAGGATGTTTGAAGAAGCAGCATCTGCAGTAGCTTAACAACAAAATATCAGGTATCAGTGTCATTAAATACGAATAAAGTGATGATAAAAAAAGGTGGTAAAAGTTCGCAGTGTTATTAGTATCAGCTAATTCTAACTAAAGTGGGGCAATGTAAAGAATCAATACAGCATTTAACACTGACAATGATCACTGATTACTAAACCAGGACAAATATACAACCTGATGAACTTAGCAACTGTATAAAAGTTATGAATTTAGACATCTAAATCCACACTCTCACAAGGCAATGGACAAGACAGTCAATTAGGTCGGCGGCTGGGACCTATTGTCATCTGCGAGTGAATTAACGCAACACTCTAATGAAAGAATGAATACCATCAGCTTGACTAGATAGCGAGAGACGAAAACGCCTAAAAACAAGATAGGCTGATAAACTCAAGTCGTTTGAACTGAGCAAGGAAACTCGGTCAAAAGAGTAACTTGACTCACAATTATAAAAAAAGTACTTGGCCTAAACATGGCAATCCCGAGAAAATTGTTTATTCATGGGTTACTAAAACGGGGGTTAAAATGTAATGCTGATTAGGTCAGTAACACCAGAGTAAGCCAGTACCAGAATCAAAACAACTCTGTAATTACTTCAAAGCGAAACACATTTCGAACTGACTACACAGTAACAAGGCGACCCGTAAACAGTCTAGCGAATTCTAGCGGAGATCCACCATAAGCGCGGACGTCGGAGAAAATAATCTCCCCTTGTCAGCTTGGAGAACGATAAACGGCTGCAGGTAACAGACTGTGTTTCTTACAATAATGAAACCCGTGAAGCAAACTAACTACAAAAACAATATGGGAATTGTAGATACCAATAAAGGACTGAACATAAAAAAAGACAATAAAACCTGAGAAATATCTACATAGTACTAGATAACCCCGCCACTGCGAGGATATCACGGTCAATGAACACTTTCAATACATGAATAAGCTGCATACATATTTGAGATAACATATATCAAATTAAATTCTGATAAAAGTTTGCGATTAAACTGCATGAGAATAAAATTTATGAACAACAAATTCTCTAACGCTAAAGAACATAAACACACCGAACTATGCCGGACAGATACGGGAGTGGGAAACGCTGCATTATATATACGTCACTACACCTTGACAAGCTTGGTTTTACCACCCGGTGACACTAGGTACGCTCCATACTTATAATTATCAATTATGAAAAATAGTTCGTGCAATAACTATTGCAATAAGCGAATGAATGACTGTACTTACTGTAGCAATCGTTGAGAGGCATCTTATCGCTGTCGACATCCTCGAGTGGAGTAGAGGTATGTCCGTGCATCTGAAAAGACTACACAACAGAACCAGGCACGCAGCCCGGACACTGGTTTTTAAGATGCTAAAAAGACTGTGTCGGGGATGCGCGCTTGGTCAGTTCTATTCATCTGTGAGAAAGGCGCAGTGGACACTTAAGCCGCTTGGCTATGCTGTATATAGCCCGCTGCAATGTTTGCTATAAGTGACCACCAGAGTCCCGCTTTGTGTGAACATGTATAACCTTGAACTACTTGTGTGGCGTTATGATGGCGTGCATTTCTTTTTTTATATATAAAGAACTAGAGATTGCTCTTCTCCAGGTGTAATGTAACATATATAGTTTTGCCCTGTACTGTTATAGTTATAGTACGAGGACGCAACTGGGAAACGATTACATGCAGATAGGAAATATTTGAAATGTTGTACCGATTTGACGAAAGTGTGACTGTCTGGTGTACTTCTTTGAAACAAGGGGGTGGAAAGTGTGAATGTCTGGTGTACTGGTTTGAAACAAGGGGGTGGAAAGTGTGAATGTCTGGTGTGCTGGTTTGAAACGAGGCTGTGAAGTGTGAATGTCTGGTGTACTGGTTTGAAACAAGGGCTGCAAAGTGTGACTGTCTGGTGTACTGGTTTGAAACATGGGGCTGAAAAGTGTGACTGCCTGGTGTACTGGTTTGAAACAAGGGGTTGTAAAGTGTGACTGTCTGGTGTACTGGTTTGAAACAAGGGGGTGGAAAGTGTGACTGCCTGGTGTACTGGTTTGAAACAAGGGGTTGTAAAGTGTGAATGTCTGGTGTACTGGTTTGAAACAAGGGACTGTAAAGTGTGACTGTCTGGTGTACTGGTTTGAAACAAGGGGCTGTAAAGTGTGACTGCCTGGTGTACTGGTTTGAAACAAGGGGTTGTAAAGTGTGACTGTCTGGTGTACTGGTTTGAGACATGGGGCTGTAAAGTGTGACTGTCTGGTGTACTGGTTTGAGACAAGGGGCTGTAAAGTGAATCTGTCTGGTGCACTGGTTTGAAACAAGGGGCTGTAACGTGTGACTGTCTGGTGTACTGGTTTGAAGCAAGGGACTGTAACGTGTGACCGTCTGGTGTACTGGTTTGAAAAAAGGGGCTGTCAAGTGTGACTGTCTGGTGTACTGGTTTGAAACAAGGGACTGTAAAGTGTGACTGTCTGGTGTACTGGTTTGAAACAAGTGGCTGTCAAGTGTGACTGTCTGGTTTACTGGTTTGAAACATGGGGCTGTAAAGTGTGACTGTCTGGTGTACTGGTTTGAAACAAGGGTTTGTGAAGTGGGACTGCCTGGTGTACCGGTTTGAAACAAGGGGGTGTAAAGTATGACTGTCTGGTGTACTGGTTTGAAACAAGGGGCTGTAAGGTGTGACTGCCTGATGCACTGGTTTGAAACAAGGGGCTGTAAAGTGTGACTGCCTAGTGTACTGGTTTGAAACAAGGGGTTGTAAAGTGTGACTGTCTGGTGTACTGGTTTGAAACATGGGGCTGAAAAGTGTGACTGCCTGGTGTACTGGTTTGAAAGAAGGGGTTGTAAAGTATGACTGTCTGGTGTACTGGTTTGGAACAAGGGTCTGTAAAGTGAATCTGTCTGGTGTAAAGGTTTGACACGAAGTGGTGTAAAGTTGTAAATGTTTGATACACTGGTTTGACACAAAGGTTTGCCGGTTTAACATACTGTTGTGTAATGTGTGAAGGACATCACACATACAGCTGATCACCTACAAGTAGGGATCTCTCTGAAACATTGTTAGATTTAAGTATTGAATCGCCCTTAGTCTCCACACACCACCAAAATATGAACCCTATCATCTATTAGTAATAACCCTTTTTTACTTTGACAACAATTACATTCCCTATAATTTTAATAGGGCCAGCTCAGCGTCCTGTGTGTGCTTCTAACGTATGGTTACCACACCCAAACCTAATGAGGATCACTCGAAGGGGTCCTTTTTATATCTTTAAAAACATATCTCTCAGCTTCAATTGTAGTCTTTAACATCTGTCATAGGAAAAGTGACTCATTTCCAACTCCCTATCCAATCCATGCCACATCAAATCCTAAATTATTCACCAACGGTTTATCACGTGTGGGCCATGTCTCCCTTTCATTATTATCAAGCTTGTATTAACATTCATAACAAGCTTTGGGATACCTGGTGATGGCCATATGTAACAACTTTAACCAGGACTTTACTACATGGCACAATTGGTCAGCGTAGGCTGGCAACTACTCAGTTCTCCATTGACAGCTTCGTAGAGCTGGTGTTTACACCTGAGAATATTCTGTAAAACTTCAAGTGTACACTTTAATTTACACTGACCTCCTCCCATATCACACAGCGGATCTATAACTAAATATTGGGAGAGCCATGCTATCAAACAGACAACAGAAGCAGGTTAGGCTCAATTCAGCTGTTATTCCAAATCTGACTAAGATATTCAATGTCTTTTCTCATGGTTTGCATGCTTCTTTGACAGCTTTGGGGCAAACATTACAACCAGGTTCTTGTGAGCAGTTACTGTTTCCAAACTGTTACCAGAAAACCACCAGTTTTTCAGTTTGCTTGATCACATCAATCCTGTAGACTGAAACAACCTTAGATTTGGAAATTGAACCTTCATGCCAGAATGTTTTGCCTCGGCTTGAACTTGATCTTGGAGTCTCACCACAGAGTCATATATATTTACAATAAATTCAACAAATACGGGGGGGGGGGGGGGGGGGGGGGGGTTATGTTGCCCAAACAAATATGTTATAAAAAACCTAGCATTAAGAGATTGATTGTATGTCACAATGACCATCATCCCTGTGTAACACTGGTCTCTTGTATTGGCATTGAAACACAAAGGTCAGTCAAGAATTATATTTAATGTTAATAAACACATACGACATTTGAACTTGATTTTATAGAGGTAAAACCGTTTTCGAAGAGCCCATTCCCTTTCCATAAGCGGACCGCCTCCGTGGTCTAATGGTAGAGCGTCCGCCCGGAGAGCAAGTGAGCCTGATCACCCGATGCCGTTAGTCGCCTCTTACGACAAGCATAGTCGCCTTTTAGGGCAAGCATTGTTTGCTGAAGACCCTTCTACCCCGGATCTTCACGGGTCATGGGGACCGCCTCCGTGGTCTAGTGGTAGAGCGTCCGCCCGGAGAGCGGAAGGTCCGGGGTTCGATCCCCAGCCGCGTCATACCAAAAGACGTTAAAAGATGGTACTTGTTGTTACCCTGTGTGGCGCTCGGCATTAAGGGGCTAAAACAAGGACTGGTCGGCTCGGAGTCAGTATACCATGTCTGAGTGGGGTATTCATGTTAAACTGAGGCATGGTATCTCAGTGTGCTAGCACTATAAATCGGCATCAGTCCGGTCTAGTACAAGCAGCCACTCACCTACACACACACACACGTGCATGCACGTCGCTATATAAGTGCAATAATCTTGGACGCGACGGTAAACCCCATTTCACCTCACCTCACCTTCCATAAGCAAAACTACCCAGTTGCTTCCGCACTGACGCTTCACCGCCACACACCACAGCTCTAGTCATATATCTCTCAAGCATTTATCATACCTCCTTAAACCTACTTTACAAACACTGACCTCGACAACATGAACGGACGAGTTATAATAATTTGATTAAGAAAAAGAATGAAGCTTCCAAACACTAATAAATATCTAAATACATATTGCTTCTGATTATTTTACAGTCAAACAGGGGTGGGGTGTGTGGGTTGTGGGGTGTGTGTGTGTGTGTGTGGGGGGGGGGGGGGGGGGGGGTGGGGGGGGGTGGGGGTGGAGTTTATGCACACCACGTGAACAACACTGTTGAGCATTCAACATCGCACATAACCCCAGATTTGTTCGACGCTGAACAAAACCCATCACAAGAACTCGTCAGTGGCGGTGAATAGGGCGACCGTCAGAGACAAGACACAGTTAGGATTTAACCTCATTTTTGGATATTACGATATGATATAATCACGCGGTCATGGTGACCCAAAGGCTGGAGTAGAATGTTCTACTTTTTCTAATCGGATACACAGGAAGACTTTGCACGCTTTGCAGTCACCTCAGCCTTAGCTGCCCTAAATTCACGCGTTGTTATTGTGCGATCCTCTCACCTGCAGGTTATGCGAGAGCGAGGCAAACTTGCCCCCGCATAATGCAGTGTATATTGTGCAGTGTATATCTAGCGTGTCGGACGGAGAGGTTTCTCAACATGCGATAGACGTAGTTTTATGCTCTAGCATAACTTCTGCATCAAATCGATTACTAATGCAAGTTTCCTCATATTTTAACACAGCTAATAAAGAAAGCTACCCATACTGATATCAATCCCTGACTTAGTAAATGAATCGGTGTATCATCTTGGTTGATACTTGTTGATGAATCCATTTAATAGTGTGAATGAGTTATGTTTAACGCTGCTTTAGTATTAGAGAAACACCACGTTGAGTCAACTTGACGGGGAAGAAATCATAAAATGAGGCACATCCCAGACACTCCCACTTTGGGGGAAGTTTCGAAAGTGTAGTATTGTGCTGAAATAGGTTTGCGTAATATGAAGAATCTGAGATCATAGGCTTCTGTCACGCCTGTGGCATACAACTCTGCCCAGCAACAGATATAAGCGAGTTGGCGACCAGTTGCCCCATCACTAATAGAATTATCATTCAGAAGCTGGTTGCTCAGCTGGATATTTTCTATTGAAGACAATAAATTATTACAATATGGCTACTGAGGCAGACATTTTAAATATAATAAAGGGGTTTCATTATTTCAGCTACATGACATATTATTATCTTACCATATTGCGCTGATAACTGTTTGATGGGTGTGCTAATGGAGTTTGAAGAACCATGGTTGGTGCATAACGGCCTCTGTTCCATTATGTTTAAGGAATAGGGAGTCACTCGGACATTCCCCTGTACGTAGTAGTCAGAGATCACAGTAAATGAGAGACAGACAGAAACAAATGCATCTTCTTTTTTTACGAACTTCCAAGGATTTGA